ATTAACTGATTGGTTTTCTGTAGCGGGTTTGGGTGTGAAACTTGTCTACTGTTTTTACCAATAATTTTGTTTATGCCTTTCCAGGCTTTGCCCAGGGGAGTATGCAGGTTAAATCCACTAACAAAACCATCCAGGGAGGTGTCCTCAGTCCTACTCTGTTCAATGTGTTAATCAATGCACTTTTAAACTCAGTAACTAGGAGCCCAAGCGAACACATCATTAGATATGCGGATGATATACTTATCCACACCAATGGGTATACCAACACCCAAAATGTTCTGAACACTGTATTGCACACATGTCAGGAACTAGGCTTAGTCATCTCAGTAGAGAAAACAAAGATCCTGAACCGACGCCCACCCAGACGGGGTGGGGCCGTTCGCAAAATGCAGTTGCATGATGGCTCTCTGCTCGACTATGTTACCAGATACAAATACCTTGGTCTTGAGGTTCCACTGTACCACAATGTTGTAGCCAGACTGGGTCGCCAATGTAGAGAGAGGCTTCGTGCTTTCAAGGCTGTGGAAGGCTACCATCCAAGCTATGGTGCAAATGTGAGAATTGTCAAAATGATGTATCTCTCATATATTTGATCTCTGATTGATTATGCTGCACCCATGCTTGCTCTAGTGCCTGAGAGAATGCTTGGAGGGCTGGAAAAGATGCAAAACGAAGCCATGAGGATTATCCCCGGATGCCCCCGTACAACTAAATTACTAAACATGAGGAAGGAACTGAATATTTCATGTGTAAGTGATCGTATCACTGATATTAATGCTTTAATTGGTATCAAGATGCTTAGGCTAACCCACCCTAACCCCTGCACTGAAGCTCTCCAATCCTTGAAGGTCAGCATCCCTTCAAATGGATTCCCGTAACTGCCAATGTGCTCAGTATGTATAATATTCATCACCTCTACCAAGAGAGACAACAACAACACTTTCCTGCCCCATGGGAGATCACTCCTTTCCAAATTACTGTTCCTCCCTTTCCCACCCAAGAAGCTGATGAAAGAACAGTCCTTGCTTCGACAAGAAGCAAAGTACAATGCCTTAAGACAAATTGATGCTTTAGTCAGAGAGCGCTCCCTTTCCCAGATTATTTACACTGATGGATCCTTGCATCAGTCCCATGGTGCAGCTGGAAGTGCAGTTGTTGTGACAGGGAGAGATGGTTCCTTCTCCCATGAGTGTGGAGCGCGTCTAAGTAACTGGGCCTCCACTCTTCAAACAGAATTGGTTGCCATAATCCTTGAACTCGAGCGCGTATATGAATCCAAAGTTGACACGTTAATTGTCAGTGACTCATTGTCATCCTTGACTGCCCTCAGCTCCCCAAGGCATAACTGTGACGTGCTTATCTCTGAAGCTAGACTCAGATATAATGAAATAATCAATGATGGAATCAGAAATTGTCACCTGTGGATTCCTTCTTATATTGGTCTCCGAATGCATGATAGAACTGATGAGTTACTTTTGCTCGTAAAAAGGGAGTTGATTACCAACTTGGACTGCCTTTGAGCAGCCTGAGGGCAGCAATATCCCAGGAACATCAATAAAATCTGGTAGACTTGAGGCAAAGTGAAATTCACACCAGTTCCTCCATCTATCATCATTCTATTATGCAGGAAGAACCGCACGTCTATGGGTCATCCAATAAGGTTAGCAGACTTCAAGCCTAGCAGATGTTACCACTGCTAGGCTTAGGCTCGGCTACAAGTACCTCTGAGAGTTTGTAACATCTGCTGATGTAGATTTGACTAAATGTAAACTCTGTCAGCAAAACTATTCGCATACTTTGCGTCATTATATAATGGAATGTGAAAAAATCGCGGAATTCAGAGATCACACCATCAATAGTGTCCAAGAAATGTGTAAGTACTTCATTCATAATGATGTGCTGCCCGAAATCTTAGCGAAGTATCCAAAATTTGCTTACTGTAGGTAATGCATGCGCATGACTGTAAAGCTGCCGCCCAGTTGGGTGGGTGTGGAGCACATGACTGTAAAGCTGCCGCCCAGTTGGGTGGGTGTGGAGCACATGACTGCAACGCTGCCGCCCAGTTGGGTGGGTGTGGAGCACATGACTGTAAAGCTGCCGCCCAGTTGGGTGGGTGTGGAGCAAGACTAGTAACTGTGTAACCCACTATAGATGTAAAGTGACTGTTGTGAGCCTCTTGTTGAATGACTTGTGATACTAAAGATTATTGATGTGTGTATTTGTGTAGATGACTGTATATATATATATATATATATATATATATATATATATATATATATATATATATATATATATATATATATATATATATATATATATATGTGTGTGTGTGTGTGTGTATATCACGAAAATAAACACGTGATTAAGAATGTGACAATGTCAGACCACGGAGGAAAAATGAAACAGGAATTTCCTTAAGTACTTTCGTATATTAAATACATCTTCAGAAGGTCTCCTTCTGAAGATGTATTTAATATACGAAAGTACTTAAGGAAATTCCTGTTTCATTTTTCCTCCGTGGTCTGACATTGTCATATATATATATATATATATATATATATATATATATATATATATATATATATATATATATATATATATATATATATATATATATATATATATATATATATATGTGTGTATACATATGTATTTGTGTATATATAAGTACAGAAACGAGTATATATAACATTAATAATTGTGTAACTAGCGTCAAAAGATTGTTATTTGCTTAGCTAAATGAACTAGAGGGTTCAGTTCCTGAACCGATTATGTGCCTCTGTAACCCTTTACACCACCGCCCACGGGATGGGTATAGTATGCATAATAAAGAAAGAAGTTGAATTGAATGTAATCTCAAAACCCATTGTACCTTCTAGTAAACAAATTACCATTATTATTATTATTATATTAAAGACCTGCCCGGATAGGTATGCATGTTAGTGGCTTTACAAGAATCTAAGACCACGAATGTTATGTTCTCTCTCAGCCCAATGTATCTTCTTGTAAAATATATTTTATATATTAAATTTTATTTTATATATTATAATATTTTATATATTATATATGTAAACTATATATTGATTTATTCTCTTTCTTGTAGACGGAACAGTTGTAAACCCCAGTTAGCGCACAGGTACATGAGCGCGGCTCCGCTCCATCCGGCCTGGCGTGTGTGTGTGGGTGGGGGCTTGGGTGTAGGGGGGCTTAGCCGGCCACGCCCCCCCCCCCCATCATCCAGCACAACTTTATAATGTTTCGACTCATATGTTGCTCGCTATGACTTCCTTTAATCTGAATCTTTGTACTAATGTATACAGATTCATCATAGATACTCTTTCAATGTTTCTGTATGCATTTAGCTTGTCTCAGCATTTGCACATGTAATGTAATCTCAGACACATGTGTAACTGGGTAATTATAAAGTAATTAGTTGTTAATTATTTAGGATTACTCGTGCATAGGTGATATGCCTCCTTCATCATTATTGTCAAGTCTATCATATTTTTCTGGGATGACTTCTCTAACCTTGTATACTTTAGTTACGTACTAAACTATAACAAAATTTCAGTGTCAGAGTAGTTAATAAATGGAATGCATTAGGCAGTAATGTGGTGGAGGTTGACTCCATACACAGTTTCAAATAAAGGTATGATAGAGCCCAATAGGCTCAGGAACCTGTACACCAGTTGATTGACGATTGAGAGGCGGGACCAAAGAGACAAAGCTCAGCCCCCGCAAGCACAACTAGGTGAGTACTTGTTTGTTGGGGTGCATGTGCCCGTATTTACGTTAAAAAGTGCTACAAGTATAGTTAATAAGGCCGCTTAACATGTATCCCTGCACGTGTACACCATAGGCTGCACGTGTACACCATAGGCTGCACGTGTACACCATAGGCTGCACGTGTACACCATAGGCTGCACGTGTACACCATAGGCTGCACGTGTACACCATAGGCTGCACGTGTACACCATAGGCTGCACGTGTACACCATAGGCTGCACGTGTACACCATAGGCTGCACGTGTACACCATAGGCTGCACGTGTACACCATAGGCTGCACGTGTACACCATAGGCTGCACGTGTACACCATAGGCTGCACGTGTACACCATAGGCTGCACGTGTACACCATAGGCTGCACGTGTACACCATAGGCTGCACGTGTACACCATAGGCTGCACGTGTACACCATAGGCTGCACGTGTACACCATAGGCTGCACGTGTACACCATAGGCTGCACGTGCTCGCAATAGGCTACAACTTGCAGTTGCAAATTTTTATTATTAATAATTTACATTAATACAAGTTATACCTCCTATGGTGTTTGTTTTCGCCCGAAGCCATAAAATACTTTAACACAAAAGACATATACAGACAGGCGTGTGTCTTCTGACTTAGTTTTTATTAATTAATATTACATATTATGCGCTTACCTCTAATACTTATTATTATGTAAACATATAACTATCACACAATAATGTTTACGCTGGTGACATTCAGTGTCAAAGTCAGTTCAATGTCAATGTCACTTGACAATGAATGCCACGTAGAGGAGTGGGGCGCTGAAGGGTCTGAGAATGTGCTGCCTCAATCTGCTGGCACCTCAGCCGGTGTGGACTCAACGCCTCAGCCGGTGTGGACTCAACGCCTCAGCCGGTGTGGACTCAACGCCTCAGCCGGTGTGGACTCAACGCCTCAGCCGGTGTGGACTCAACGCCTCAGCCGGTGTGGACTCGACGCCTCAGCCGGTGTGGACTCAACGCCTCAGCCGGTGTGGACTCAACGCGTTTAAAACATCTGCACAAGATTATGAGTTTTAGGAATAAAACCATTCCTCCTATTTATCTCGGGTGCTCTTAAATTAATGTGGTATTGTATAGCTTGTCATTATATATACTATAGTTGGTTTATATACCTACGCTGAACACAATGGGGGTAACAAATTTTGGTGGTTAATGAAATATATATTATATAAAGATTATATTCAACTGATTTTTCAAGCTTCCTGAAAAACCTTCTCAATTCATTTTTCAGACATCTCTGTGTACAGGAACCCTGGCAGATATATATGGAACAAACTAACATAGTTCCAATGTACTAAAAAAGTGGCAACAGGAAACACCCCTTGATTACAGACCTTATCATTGACAAGTGTAGTGAGCAGACTGGAGAAATGTCACGCGTGGAGTACCTCAAAGTACCAGTGCCTGTGGTACCTGGCTTGTACACTGTGGCTCAAGGCAGGTACCACCACAGGCACCTGAGGAGACAATGCTGGCGTCGAAGCCCTTAATCAGCCATTAAGGCTGGCGCGTGGAAAAATGCACAAAAGTTGCAAAATATTCGACCCATCGCTACATTCTACACCGGGGTCAATCCAGTCTTATCACAACCATCACACCCAGAGGAACTCCGCATCCGCCCACACAGGTGAGTTTAGACTCATCTCCAAATTACTATAATTTCAGTCAATCATTTGGATTGGTGATAAAACACCTGATCACCAATCCATTCGACTTGCCCTTGCAATGACTAGTGCCTCTAGTGCATATGTGTGTATGAATACATACATACATTCATGCACATGTATGTGTGAATGTATGTATACATACATACATCATACATGATTACAACCTACAAAATCCTCAGGGGAATCGACCGGGTAAACAAGGATAAACTATTCAACACTGGTGGGACGCGAACAAGGGGACACAGGTGGAAACTGAGTACCCACATGAGCCACAGAGACGTTAGAGAGAACTTTTTCAGTGTCAGAGTGGTTAACAGGTGGAATGCATTAGGCAGTGATGTGGTGGAGGCTGACTCCATACACAGTTTACAATGTAGATATGATAGAGCCCCGTAGGGTCAGGAACCTGTACATCAGTTGATTGACAGTTGAGAGGCGAGACCAAAGAGTCAGAGCTCAAATCCCGCAAACACAAATAGGTGAGTACATACATACATACATACATACATACATACATACATACATACATACATACATACATACATACATACATACATACATACATACATACATACATACAGACCTGTCCCCTGCAACCCATATCAAGAGGATAACATCAGCGGCATATGCCAGGCTGGCCAACATACGAACGGCATTCAGAAACTTGTGTAAAGAATCATTCAGAACTTTGTATACCACATATGTCAGCCAATCCTGGAGTATGCAGCTCCAGCATGGAGTCCATATCTAGTCAAGGATAAGACTAAACTGGAAAAGGTTCCAAGGTTTGCCACCAGACTAGTACCCGAGCTGAGAGGTATGAGCTACGAGGAGAGGCTACGGGAATTAAACCTCACTTCGCTGGAAGACAGAAGAGTTAGGGGGGACATGACCACCACATTCAAGATTCTCAGAGGAATTGATAGGGTAGATAAAGACAGGCTATTTAACACAAGGTGAACACGCACTAAGGGACACAGGTAGAAACTGAGTGCCCAAATGAGCCACAGAGATATTAGAAAGAACTTTTTTAGTGTCAGAGTGGTTGACAAATGGAATGCATTAGGCAGTGATGTGGTGGAGGCTGACTCCATACACAGTTTACAATGTAGAAATGATAGAGCCCAATAGGCTCAGGAACCTGTACACCAGTTAATTGACGGTTGAGAGGCATATACTCACCTAATTGTACTCACCTAATTATGCTTGCGGGGGTTGAGCTTTGGCTCTTTGGTCCCGCCTCTCAACTGTCAATCAACTGGTGTACAGATTCCTGAGCCCTAAGGATTTGTTCATTTGATGCATCACGCTATTGTGATTTCTGTGTTTCTAAGACATCTTCGAGCATCAAAGTCAACTCTTTAACGTTTACCAAGACAATCGCTTCCAAGCAATACTTTAAACAGTTCCAACACATCAACACAACTACTGTTTGGGATCATAGCTCACAACAGATAGAATTATTATTATTATTATTATTATTTTTGCAGAGACTTAGTTTTTTCTTTCGGCCAACCATAATTTTTAGAATTATTTTTTTTTTACATCAGCTTGATGACACCATATACCTCCTGACCTCTTCTTCCTCTCACTAGTCAATCTCAGTTTAGTTATCATCTCTACCATCGTATGCATGCAGTCATGCTGGGTATAACACGTTCTCAGATCCATCTTTTATGCACCAAGATTGTAACCTTTTGTTGAATTGTCTGAATGTCTATTGCAAATTGTCACTATACCTCGGTCATAAAAGTATTTGTGTGTACGTCTGGTAACATACTACTTGTGTAAAGGAAGAAATGTATATGTTTATCACTCAGAATGTTTGGTAATATGTTTATTGTTTGTGATGTGTGTCTATGTATGTATGAACACGTTGTACTGAACGGGGTGAGAATAGCTTGAGCTACCTCATCCCTTTGTGTGTATTTTACCTCAATAAACTTATTTCAATTTCAATCTTTTATTTCCCCCCCTCCCCAAGAGGTGAAGATTTTTAATTAATGAATGAAGATATAACTTCATTATTTACAAAATTTGTCTGTTAAGACATTTAAAGTCATCCTCTGAATGTATTACAGGAAAAATGTCCGACCCAAATAACAACCAGACTGAAGACTACGATCAGGATGATGATCTTCAAGTCGAACTGTGCGACTGGGACGAAGAGGAGGACATACCTGATGAAGTGGTCATCGTCATCAACAACGATGACGGTATGTCCAGCGTCCAGGGGGGTTCTTGGTAGTACAGTTGGGTTAGTGCTCGACTCTCAGTTGGGAATCCCAGGTTCGAATCCTGGCGGGACAGAATAGTTGAGCATAAGAACAGAGGAACAAAGGCAACTGCAGAAGGCCTATTGGCTCATACGAGGCAGCTCCTATTTATAACCACCCAATTCCACTCATATACTTGTCCAACCCGCGCTTGAAACAATCGAGGGACACCAAACCAACCACGTTACGCGGTAATTGGTTCCACAAATTAACAACCCTGTTACTGAACCAGTATTTACCCAAGTCATTCCTAAATCTTAACTTATCCAATTTATACCCATTGTTTCGTGTTCTGTCTTGTGTTGATACTTTTATACCCTATTAATATCCCCCTTGTTATGTCCATTCATCCACTTGTAAACCTCTATCATGTCACCCCCTAACTCTTCGCCTTTCCAGTGAATGCAACTTAAGCTTTGTTAATCTTTCTTCATATAAAAGATTTCTAATTTGGGGAATTAACTTAGTCATCCTACACTGGACACGTTAAAGTGAATTTATATCCATTCTATAGTATAGCGACCAAAACTGAACTGCATAATCTAAATGGGGCCTAACCAGAGCTAGATATAGCTGAAGAACCACACCAGGTGTCTTGTTACTAACGCTTCGATTAATAAATCCCAGTGTCCTATTTGCCTTATTACGAACATTCATGCATTGATCCTTTTGTTTTAAATTCTTACTTATCATAAATCCCAAATCCCTTTCGCAATTCGACTTCGCAATCTCAACACCATCTAGCTCGTATCTTGTAACTCTATCATCATTACCTAGCCTCAAAACTTTACATTTATCAGCATTAAACTGCATCTGCCAATCCTTTGACCATTTCAAAACCCTAATTAGATCAACTTGAAGTGATAGTGAGTCTTCTTCCGTGTTAATTTCCCTGCAAATGTTGCTACTCAAACCTGAATCTAAATCATTGATATATATTATAAACAACAGAGGTATCAGGACAGAGCCCTGAGGAACTCCACTTACAACATTTTCCCACTCTGACTTAACCCCATATATACTAACTCTCTGTTTCCTTTGGAATAGCCATGCCCTAATCCAACTTAATATAGCACCCCCAATACCATGAGCCTCTATCTTTTTAATCAGTCTTTCATGTGGCACTGTATCAAAAGCTTTGCTAAAGTCAAGGTACACAACATCACAATCCTTACCACTATCAACTGCCTCATCAATGCTAGAATAAAAAGATAGCAAATTTGTTAAACATGAACGGCCATTTATAAAACCATGTTGCGACTCAATTATTAATTTATGTTTTTCAAGATGGAGACGAATTTTATTTGCTATTATAGATTCGAGTAACTTTCCCACAATAGACGTTAGGCTAATTGGTCGATAGTTTGACGCACGTGATCTATCTCCTTTCTGAAATCTGGTATCACATTAGCAACTTTCCATAACTCTGGCACTCTGCCTGACTCTATTGATTTATTAAATATGGTAGACAGTGGCTCGGAAAGCTCCTCTTTGCATTCTTTAAGCACCCTGGCAAACACTTCATCCGGCCCTGGGGATTTGTTTGGTTTGAGTTTTACTATTTGTTTAAGAACATCCTCTCTGGTAACTGCTAAACTAGTCAACCTGTCCTCGTCCCCACCCACATAGACTTGTTCGGCTGAAGGCATATCGTCAAGTTCCTCTTTAGTAAACACAGATATAAAATATTTATTAAAAAACTACTCATCTCTTCATCACTATCTGTTATTTGACCTGTCTCAGTTTTTAATGGACCTATCCTTTCCCTAATCTTTTTCCAGTATAACTGAAAAAACCCTTTAGGATTTGCTTGCTCTGCTATGCGAACTTCATAGTTTCTTTTTGCTTTCCTTATATCTTTTTTGACATTTCTAGCCAGTTGTACGAAGTCCTGTTCTAAAGTGACCTCCCTATTTTTAATCCTTTTGTACCAAGCTCTCTTTTTACCAATAAGGTTCTTCAAATTCTTTGTTATCCACTTTGGGTCATTAGTATTCGATCTATTCAATTTGTATGGTATACTACGTTCCTGTGCTTTGTTTAGAATATTCTTAAATAAGTTATATAATGAATCCACATCGAAATCCCCATTTACGTCACCTATCGCTGGGTTCATGTCTATTGAACCCGGCCCCCACCCCATACCCAAGACTTTCCAATCAATTTGACCCAAAAAATTTCTTAGGCTATTAAAATCAGCTTTTCGAAATTTGGCACTTTAACAGAATTTTCTCCTACAGGTCTATTCCATTCTATGCTAAATCTGATTTCTTTGTGATCACTGTTCCCTAGCTCACTCCCTATTTCGATGTCATTAATTTGTGTTTCCCTGTTAGTTAACACTAAATCTAAAATATTATTTTCCCGTGTTGGTTCCTTAATGTGTTGCGTAAGAAAGCAATCGTCAATTAATTCTAGAAAATCTTCTGCTTCACTATTCCCTGTTTTGTTCAACCAGTTTATTCCACTAAAATTAAAGTCACCCATGACGTAAATACTGTTAGATCTAGATGCCCTAGATATTTCATCCCATAGATGCTTTGCTTCCATTCTGTCTAAATTTGGTGGCCTATATATATAACTCCTATTATAATATTATTTGCTTTTTCGTATAATTCTATCCAAATAGTTTCTGTGTGTGGCTCAGTTTTGATTTTGAAAGACTTTTTGAAAGACTCAGTTTTTGAAAGACTACATTTCAAATTGTCCCTAACATATATGGCTACTCCCCCTCCTCGTCTAATATATCTATCTATGTGAAATAGTTTAAATCCATTTACTTGATATTCACCTAATAGTTCTCTATTTTCTACATTCATCCACGTTTCGGTAAATGCAATAAGATCTATTTTTTCTGTGCAGACAAGAGCATTTAATTCGTTAATTTTATTTCTTAGACTTCTACTGTTAGTGTAATATACCCTAAGTGAACTGTTATTTTGAGGCCCTTCTCTTTCCCTGATCATTTTGTCAATTCTTTTCTCCCACGAACACATACTTTTATTACCTCCTTCCTCCAAATCAATTCCCATACCACTATCTACTAACAGTTTAAACCCAAACAAACACCTCTAACCACTGGTTCCAACGAGTTCGCAACAGCAACAACCCCAGCTCTCGATAGATGCACCCCATCACGAGCATACATTTCATTTCTTCCATAGAAGTGTTCCCAGTTGTCTATGAAAGATATTGCATTTGATTTGCAATATCTTTCCAGCCGGCAATTGACACCAATTGCCCTCGACATCCATTCATTTCCCACTCCCTTTCTTGGAAGAATGCCACATATGATCGGGATTCTTCCCTTGCTCCTAACTAATTTAATGGCTGTCCTGAATCTCTGTATTAGTTCCTCACTCCTAACTCGCCCAACATCATTACCCCATGCAGTAATACAAATAATGGGTTTGTTCCCATTTCCCGTCATAATATCATTCATGTTTCCAACAATATCACCAATTCCAGCTCCCGGATAGCAAACCCTTAATCTGTTCCTCCTTTCTCTGGCACAAAACGTTCTGTCTAAATACCTCTGTCTATAAATAAATTGGATAAGTTTAGATTTAGGAAAGACTTGGGTAAATACGGGTTCAGTAACAGGGTTGTTGATTTGTGGAACCAATTGCCGCGTAACGTGGTGGAGGTGGTGTCCCTCGATTGTTTTAAGCGCGAGTTGGACATGTATAGGGGATTGTGGTGGGATTGGGTGGCTATAAATAGGAGCTGCCTCATATGGGCCAATAGGCCTTCTGCAGCTACCTTTGTTCTTATGTTCTTATTTTTTTCTAATGTCTTAACATTGTCTCTGCACTCGATCACAATATTCTGGTATACTTTATAAAGACTCTAACGATCTGACAATATCTCTTAAACACAGTCTGAACTCCAAGCTGTAATAGCAGGATTACAGGAAGTAATCAAATGTGGTAGAAATGTGTGTTTTTTTATAGACAGTAGAGGAGCGTTGGAGTTTTAAGTTTTCTGGCCTTGCACATAATTTTTATTTTATTTTATTTTCAGAAGAAGAAGAAGCGGACCAAACTGGTGCAGAGGGCCTGAGTGGTTCAACCACTCCACGGGAGGAGCAAGAGGACCAGGAGCAACAGAAACCCAATGAAGAAAATGTCCAGAACTTCACGACTCATCGTACTAAACAGTAATACTGAACAAAAGGAAATAGGTTTACAAAAACAGAATGTGATGATATAAAGTAATAATAACAAAAATTTAATAACAGTTACCTGCGAAGGTAGTAGGGAGTGTACAAGTGTTGGGTAAGAAGAAATGTCAAAATGTTGGGAGTCTGTGACCAAAGGGATATTTCTTCTAAATTACTCAAAATGTTGGGAGGCTGTGGACAAGGCGATGCCGCTTCTCAATGAATTATTATATTAAACCTCAGCCAAGTTACGAGTCTGCATCTACGTTGTAGTTCACCAATGTTGGTGATAATTGTTTTTGCTATGTAATGCATTCTTGAAGAACATTATGTTTTGTAACATTAGAACATAAGGATCTTATTGTGAGTTCACATCCATTATTCATTTCTTCCCACCTTTTGGAGTGTAAGGATTAATTAATTAGTTCCTTTGCCATGATTGAACTTACAGAGTATTGGAGGATAGAATTTCAGAGATAAATGAAGCTTCGGCGATTAGATTAATGAGAGGCGAGGGAGCTAATGAACTAATTCTCTCACATCAAAAGGTGGGAAGAAATGAATAATGCAGGTGAAAGCATAATAAGATCCTTATGATCTAATGTTACAAACCATGGTGTCATTCAAGGATGAATTTAATTTCCAAGTTCACAATTAACACCAACATGGGAAGAATACAATGTAGATGCAGTAATTTTTCTCTCTATGTTCCCAGACTCTTGCTGTAGTTTGCCAATTCAATGATAATCGACATCGCCTTGTCCACACCCTCCCCACATTTTAAGTCACTAACTGTAGGTAGTAACTGAGTGATTGTAACCTATCCACCGCTGCCCACTGGATGAGGGGCGGTGTGCAGGACAAATATATCAATTGTGACACTAACTCTCCACATATGTCAGTTGCTTAATTTAGAACCTGTACTTGAGGTCGATCTCGAACCCATTGATGATGTGACGACGTGTATTGAATTTTGTAACTAGATCATCAAGATTGTAACTTGCTTAGTTAAATAAATTGTGGGGTTCCGTCCCTGAGCCCATTATGTGCCTCTGTAACCCTTTCCACTATCGCCCACAAGATGGGTATGGGGTGCAAAATAAACGAACTAAACTAACTAAAACCACTAATGCACACAGCGCTGCGGCAATTCATTAATTAACAAGTGCATTGGTTGATCTCACATCGTGATAGCATGGGGCAAATTGTTTGACCCGCAGTCCGTCTTGCTCCTCAAGTTATTTTCAAGTTAACGTTAAAACATCTCTCGAGTTTATCTCTCCAAATGAACTACATATATTTTAATTAAACAAACTCTCCATCAACATTTTCCACCACGCGGGGTTGATTATTATCATTATTAGTGGAAAGTTCATTTTCCTGAAACCCTTCCATCCGTGCTACTCAATCTTCTTCCTTACTTTCTTTCCTCTCCGCTTCATTCCACCACTTCACTCCTCACTACACTCTCCACTTCACTCCCCACTACACTCTCCACTTCACTCCCTGTAACGGGGACCAGCCTTTAACTCACTGGTTTAATGCAGGTCGTTAAGTAAATATATACAGAAACCAGAGTTCTGCTGTGTACACAGTCTCTGAGTACAAAAGACATGAAAATGGTACACCGCAAGGAGGTATTCTCAGCCCTCTTTTCTTCAACTGTTTAACCCTTGTGTTGCTCAGGGCTAATTAGCATTTGTCACCCACAGGTGCATACCAAAAAAAAAAATAAAAAATTATTTTTTTCTTCTTAATCTGTGTTCTCTGTTCATGGGAAAAATAATAAAAAATCGTGAGTCTAGTGAGTCCAGACAGTAAATCGTGGTCACACAGTCAGCAGACAATGCTATCTCCCTCCCCACCAAGATTACTCCTCCCACTATAGCGCTAATTATCACAACAATCCTGCTATTATCAGAATCCTGGTAATTTTTACAGTCAGTGGTCTTCTGTAATAATATCAAAGCTAAATAATAGCTTGAACATGTATATTATGGCACTTTTAGGCGATGCTGTGGTCACAAGCTGAAAGGCAGTGCTGTGAGCTCATGCTGCATGCGTGGTGGCTCACTCAATACTGAGGCCCTCACACCCGGGAATTTGGCCCACGATTTAAAAAAAAAAAGGCGTCTGTTTACAAGAGCCCTGATGAAGGTGAGGTGAACCCCGTGTATCCGCAGGCCGTTTAAATCTTGCGTAGTACTCCAATACATCATATGATGGGATACACAATTTATAGCAAGTCACTCAACCCATCATATGATGTGTTGCGCAACTTAAGGGTTAATGAAAAGAATAATGAGGTTGAAACTTCCACATCACTGCAGGCTGCTAAACTACGCGGACGACTTTGTCATCATCATAAAAGGAAGGGATGCGGCGCGCCTTGCACCCAAATGCTTAGACTGCATCAGTAAAGAGGCAAAACAGATTGGGATTAAACTCAACCCCTCAAAGTCAAAGGCCATGCCCATAAAAATAGCGAAGCCCAACATCCAACTCACAGTACAGGGTCAACCAATTGAATGAGTCGACACCTATCAGTATCTAGGAATCATCCTGGACACACATGAATTTTAATGCCGAGGTCACTTACTTGAGAGAGCGAACTGCGGCCCGGACGGCAATTCTCAAGTCGCTAACCTCCCTTTCTGGAGGAGCCAATCTGCAAGTCCTTCGCACATACTATGTACAAGCAGTCAGATCAGTGATCGATTATGCCGCACTTGCACTCACAAATCTATCACACCAACAGTGGAAAAAGCTTGAAGTTGCCCAAAACAATGCTATGAGAGCGGCACTGGGAGCCCCCATGTGGACCAGGCTTGAAACTCTTAGACTGGAGACGGATTTGCCCTCTCTACAAGAAAGAATATCACAAAGGACAGCTACAATTGTCAGTAAGATAATTATTTCTTCTGATCCAAACCCAGTACGGCAGGCCTTGGTGGTTGGACTAGGCCAAAACAATGGAAACTCTTGGGTTGCAAGAGCAGGAAAAGTCCTAAACAGATTACATTTAAAAAACATGATTCTTGATAGAGAGGGTGATCATCCACACCCAAATTACACTCCTTCTGCGCCGTGGGAAGAGCCTACTTTCAAAATAGTAATAGAAAGTCTCCCAATGAAAAAGGCTGCCTATGATCCGACAATCCTAAGGCGCATAATAGAAGAGCAAATGTATAGCATAGCAGTAGCAGGAGCCACCCACATCTTCACAGACGGATCGGTGGACACAGAAAATGAGAGTGCTGGCGCTGCTCTTTGCACGGCCAGCGTACAGGCATATTGGAGACTGGGAGGACTAGTATCATCAACCCAAACTGAGCTGTTTGCCATACAACAGGCATTCGCATATGTGATTGCACAAAACACTCAAAATGCAATCATACACACAGACTCAAAAGCTGCACTTCAAATACTAGGACAAAAACAGTGGGAAGATAATGTGGAAATAATTACCACCATTTTGTATCTTGGAGCAGTCGCTAAAGGCAAAGGACTCAACATAACTTTAAACTGGATCCCATCCCATATTGGAATCCCATTAAATGAAAAAGCTGATGAAATTGCTAAATTGGCAAACTCGTCATCCAGTGATACATAAAACAATTCAACCCAGCCTAGAGAACATAAAAAACATCATCACAAAAAAATTTCTCACATCTCAATAAAGCCTACCTGCACCAGAGAATAGCTGAAGGTTCGCCATCTGCAACATGGTATCATCAGGCAACCAAATTAGAAAAGTTAAATATTCCAAAAGGAATCCACAGGGAAATAGCAGTTAGGTTATATAGACTACGTCTAGGTTACAGATGCAACTGGGAGATTGGTGAACCCCGACAGAGAGAGTGCATCTTCTGCCAAACTGTCACAGAAAAGCCATTACTTCACTATCTTCTGGTATGTGAAGCAACCAATGACCTTAGAAGAGCTTTAAGAGTTCCTGAATCATGCAGTGGCCACTCTGAAGCCATCAACACAGCCACTCTCCTGGTCAACAAAGGTGTTCAGCAGTTGGACACCCTCATAAAGACAGTGAAGCAGTATCCTCACCTGCGATAACAGCTTGATGGTTAAATGCAAACTCAGAATACTGAGAAAAAAATTGTACCACTTACGGGCTATTCATGCCCGTGCCACCTCTTGGGTGGCTTAACCGTCATCGTGGACACATTCACGGGAGACATCTCCCGTCACACAGAGTGCAGTTGCACCTCCACAGATCTCCAGTATCATCTATTGATACTGGTGATTGTAACAAACTAGGCTGTTGTAAGAATTATCCAGAGTGGTTTATCGACAAAAGAGAATGGGAAGCTGAGCCCGCATGGTGACCTGAGAACCTGACCCCAGGGGAATTCGCGGTGGAAATAACCAACGCTTTGTTCATAGCTGTGTATAATGAATCATCCTATAGTATTCAGTAATTTAGAGAAATTAGCCTTTATTCATTTTGTATTAAAATTGTATTGTATAATAGTACTGGATACAATATCAAGAGTATTCTAATTATTGAGTTTAAGTCACCATCAGTGACGTCACGAATCAGATCTAACTTGTAAGGCGGAGTGACCGGCGGTCATAGGTCAGCAGGGTTGACAGGTCTACTATTTCTCAAAGTTCAATTATCCATTTTTGGGGGATCGGGAACAGCTCTGCCGTTAGATGTTTGTGTAATTTAATTTCAGTAAAATAATTCAACCAGTCTGGATCAATTCAGTACAAACAGAGGTTAATTGTTATAACTTAACCTTGCTAAAGTAACTGGGTAAGCGATGCGGAACAATACAATGTTCTAGTCTGGGCGAGATCAGACGAGGACAGATCAGTGTGGACTCCAGAGCAACTGGGAGAGGTCAACCATCTTGCCTCTCCCCAAGACCAGCCCAACAGCTTAGCTGGTAAAACATAGAGGTATAGTTGCTATTGTTATGTATAGGGATAGTCTCATTTGCCATTCAGGTCAAGTAGGGAGTGTTAAAGTGACAGGGAGTGAACATATTTAGATTTTGTTTTAGTTTTTCTTTTAATAAATTAATTAGGTAATAAATTGCATTTTTATTATTTCCATGTGTTTTATGTGTATACTTGTCCTGGTCACGTGGTCCACACAAGGCAGAGTTGGATTGGGCGCCGATTCTAACATCGAATCATTCCCGTGTAAATAATTTCACACTCTTAAGTTTCCACGGTCATCGGTTATAGTGGGGATCAAGCCCCAAGGTTGATTAATTAGCATGATCGATCCAGACCTCGATCATTGCTCTGTGTTACTGGTCTGGTGGTGGCAGCGTAGAGGCGACTCTAGGGTTTTGCTCAAAACCTAGGTCACGCCATACTGGTTGTAGAATCTTAAGTCGGTCAATCGTCTTAGGACCACGTGGCGTGGAGTTGGCTTTGGTAAAAGTTTTTGGAGTCCCTTGTAGAGATTAAAAAGTAAGAATACGGGTAGAGGGCAAAGAAGGAAAGATAAGTAGAGAGGAACCTAACCCGTGTTACAATGGTGGCAGCGGTGGGATGTGATGGCTCAAAAGGGCCACCTGTTACGGACCCAAGCCCAGCGTCGTAGCAAGGAGCAGTGACGTCCACGCCATCTGTGAGTCAGCTCCCGAAACCCCCTCCAAATGGACGACGCCATCTAGCGAGGGCGGGATATACCGGCCACAGGGGCTGGTTTCCCGTCTTAGTCAGCTCGTGACATAGCCGCTGCTGACCTCTGGTGAGGTGGCGCTTAGACAGCAACGCCATCTATGGAGTGGATAGGTGGGCGTTTCGTCTAAGCCTGTAAGTGAGGTGCCCTAGAGTGTAACCAGTACTGATGACGTGTCTGATTACAGAGTCGACCTGGTACTGCT